TAATAATAATAATAATTACTAACTTAATTACTTACTTACTACTACTACTACTATACTATATATATAACTAACTAACTAACTAATAACTAATAATAATAATAATAATAATAATAATAATAATAATAATAATAATAATAATAATATATATATATATATATATTATTATTATTATTATTATTATTAACAAGTTGCAACCTCACGGACTGATATATTCATTTACGAATGGGGAAGCATGTAAAGTAGTTCACCGCATTCGGTTGCGATCTCACATCCCACCCACTCTCCTTTCATTACGAAGAACAAACCCCATAAATAATACAAACCTACACAAGTCCTTTGCCTTTTTATATCAATGCTTTTTTTTGGGTAAGTAAAAAAAAAAGAAAAATAAGTCGGTGTGGATTTGGCCCTTACACTTTAGTGAGAATAGAATCCGAGACGTTATTGTAAGGTTTGTTGGTAATTGCCCCGTCCATTCTCAAAAAAAGCTAAGTCAGTGGGGATTTGGGTCCCTACCTTTTGGTAAGAATGGAGTACCTTTTCTCTTAGGGTAAATGTCCCATCATAATTTGAATTTTCATGGCCACACACATCAATATAGTTTTTTTTTTAATGGTAATGTATGACTTATCATTAATTCAAATATAAAATTCAAGATGTTCAAACAAAGACACAAGATTACAGAAATTAAATAACCAACACGTCAATGTAGTTCTGTATCGTGGTCATGAAAGTTTTGGAAATTCCCAAAGATTCTTGACAAAAGGTCAATAAAATTAGGAGGATGCTACGAGAATCTATGAATTTGATTTTCTACAACTTTAGAGAGAGAGAATTGTTCTTGGGTTAAGCCTTGTAATGTATTTTATGTAAGAATGATTTATGTATGGACCTTAAATTTTTTTTCTAAAATATGTAAGGCTCTGTATAGGCAGAGATTAAAAAAAAAGGTTAGTCAACCTGTCTTTTTTAATTTTTTCAACATTGCCCATTGATCCAAGAAATTTTAATTTTAGTTTTTTAGTTTTTTTCATTAGTAGGGAAACTAAATTAAAATTAAGACTAAAAAAACTTAAAAATTAAAATTAAAATTCGGTCCGAAGATTCTATCCTCAGACAGAGAGGAAATTTTTTAATTTATTATTTTTAAAAAACACAAATTGGCTGACATTCTTTGTAATTTCCACCTATAATCGAAACATTTCGTATTTTAATAAAAAGTTCAAGATCCGTACGTAAATCACTCTTATGAAATAATGGTTGTCGAATCATAGTTTACGTTTGAAGCACCACTGTTTTGTTTTATAGGACACCGGTGATTCATTACTTCAAACCATGTGACTTATGTTTCGCACTTTATTTTGATCGTGGTCCATTAGGTAGGTAGGTTTAGGTGCGAAGATGTTCCATTTCCCAATCATTGTAGCAAGATGCCCAACTAATCATAATATATATAAAAAAATCTTATTTGAGGGAATCTTATATAGTATAGTTGTAAGACCAGTTCTACGAACCGGATCATGCGAGAGACCTGGTCCATTAGGAGCCACCAAATGTCTTAATATGGAGCTTGTATGGGCTTTTAACGCTAGTGCTGGTCTTTGGGTTTAATTAATCAAATTCTGCCATTGTCATTTTGGAGGAGAAAAGTAGGTGGGCAGGAGCATCACATGGTGCAAGCAAGATAGCTAGATGTGCATCATTCATTTATCATCTCCTTTTGTTTGTCTTGTAAAATGATGTTTCTATAAGGCCTAGGCTTTATGAAATTAAAATAAAGCCTCACTTCAAATCGTCGTAGAAAAAGTACTTCGGCAACGGAAATTTTCATGATGGTTCTAAAATCAATTTTCAACACCGACAATGAAATTTGCAACTAAAAAAATGGAACCGATCTTGTGAATCTATAAATACTTATTTTTAGGGGAAAATAGACTATCTAGATAATTTGTTACAATAATTATCTTTTTAGAGCTTAAAATCCTCTGTTTTTTTTTGCTTTACTTCTTGACTGGAGGCTGTGTGGTTGGAAGAAAGGGAAGTAGTGGATCTAGTGAGAAATGTCTGGATTAGTACGACAGGAAGGGGATGGGCAAGTTATAGAATTTTTAAAACGCTGATGGTGGCGAAACAAAAACTTATTCAATAGAAAGAAGAAAAACATTATTGGATTAAGTCGAAAATTAATGAGGTGGCATCATTGATTCAAGACATTGATACAGAAATGGGTGTGAATGGTGCTTTAACAGTTGAGACGGCACAAGATTGATCAAATCTAGCTAGCCTTATGCAGGAGCATTTGATATTGGATGAGATGTTTTCGAGGCAAAAATCAAGAGTAAAATGGTTGAATGAGGGAGATCTTAATACTAAATTCTTTCATTCCATTGCAAATGCTATGTGTAGACATAATGATATGTCTGGCATTTCCTTTGGTGAAACTGATAATAATGACTCTGATGTGTGGGAGATGAAATTTTTTCATTATTTTCAGAAAGGCTTTTCGAGTGAGATCCCTTTAGAGCTAATTTGGAAGGGGTGCCTTGTCAACAACTTCCCCATCAACATGCATTAGATTTTGAAAAGGGAGCGGATGTGGAGGAATTAAAATTTGCAGTGTTCTCATTGCTTGGAGATAAGATGCTAGGACCAGATGGTTTTTCAATGCTATTCTTTC